GGCTTGGCCCAGCGCCTGCTGAGAGCATAATTACAAATATGTCTTCCACTTTTTAGTGATTTTGAAGTAGAAGGAAAGTAGTATATATCTGTGAGATTATTGTCATATATTATAGGCTGTGGTCATTGTAAATCTCATCCCTTTCTATGGATTGGTTAGTATTTATCTGCTGATAAGTTCCAAATCTTAATATTTGCAGAATCCCTGGTTAATCAAGGTCAATGGCCGGGATACCTGAAAGTAGAGGACAACGAGGGGATTCACGATTATGAAAACAACGGGGGTCATGAGAGAGATCCAGAAAATGATAGAACTGCAGCTTTTGGTAGTAAAGACTTCGGAAGTCAGAAAAATCTACTATCTACTACCAATCATATGGCAAAGGCTATAAATGAACTTGATCTTGCTGACTGTACAAAATGTTCACCAAGTTATCGTCTCTTGCCAGAGGATGTGAGTGCCTCTTAAACCTTCAAACTTTATCTACCATACTTTAAATTAGTGCAGCATTCTGTTCTCACATAAATGTCGTTCTCCTGTGTAGTATCCCATTCAGATTCCAAGTTACAGAAATATACTAGGTGAAAAGGTACTTAATGATCATTGGGTATCTGTCACATCGGGGAGTGAGGATTACTCGTTCAAACACATGCGCAAAAATCAGTATGAAGAAAGCTTGTTTCGATGTGAAGACGACAGGTAAGACATATATAGTATATTAGGTTCCTGTATTTCTTTCGATATCTCGATTAGGAGTAGTCCTATAACATTGATGAGATCATGATTGTTTTTATTTGGTTTTTTTTGCTGACAATATAATTCTCAGACAAATTCTACTTCGATCTGATCTGTTAATTACATGATATGACTTCAGGTTTGAATTGGACATGTTATTAGAGTCTGTGAATGCAGCCATTAAGCGTGTGGAAAGTCTCCTGGAAAAGATTAACAACAACACAATCTCTATAGAGACACCAATTTGTATCAAAGAACATTTATCAGGCAAGTAGTTATCTGATAAAATGTTCTTGTACTGTATGTATGTCTCTTATTCTCTAACTGTGCTAAATGCCCTTATATGTGATGACTTTAATAGAGCTGAACCTAAGATGCATTGAGCGGTTGTATGGGGATTATGGGCTTGATGTCATGGATTTTCTGAAGAAGAATTCTCATATCGCCTTACCGGTCATACTAACACGCTTGAAGCAGAAACAAGAAGAATGGGCTAGGTGTCGCTCTGATTTCAGGAAAGTATGGGCTGAAGTATATGCTAAGAATCATCACAAATCACTAGATCATCGTAGTTTTTATTTCAAGCAGCAGGACTCTAAGAATTTGAGCACTAAAGGTATGTTTTCTTTATAGATTTTCACTACGTATTAGTTCATTTGTTTAGATTACCAACCGTGTTTAGGTTTGTTGAGAACTGTTAATTTCATTTGGCTGCACTTGAAGCTACATAGAAGAATGCAGGGATATGCCATTAGAAATTTCTGTCTGTACGTGGAGAACGTAATATATAAAGGCCTCATGATTGTTGAAGAAAATATGATAAAACAGAGAATGTCTTGTATCATTTTAAGTGCAGATTTGCACCGAATGAAGTTGTCTGTTATGTCCCAAATGCAGGTTTAGTTTCAGAAATAAAAGATATCAGCGAGAGAAAGCATAAAGAAGATCCGCTTCATGCCATTGCTGTTGGAACTAGGCCCTCTTTCACCCCTGATGTGGAGTTTAGTTATTCTGATCCACAAGTTCATACTGACCTATATCAACTAATCAAGTATTACTGTGAAGAAATATGTGCTACTGAACAGTCGGATAAAGTTATGAAGCTGTGGGTAACCTTTTTGGAGCCCATGTTTGGCGTTCCTTCGAGGTCTCAAACTAACGAGACAATGAAAGATGTTACAAAGTTCAAAGAGAACCAAGAAGAGGATGATGCATGTGAGGCAGTGAAGGACACCACCACCTGTGACGGTTCTCTTGCCTCAGACCGTAAACCTCTAATACTTCCAGAAACGCCAAACGAAGAAAACCAAGCAGTACAAGGAAGCTCTTTTGCTCAAGATATCCCGGTCAATACTCGAGAAATTAATAAGCAAGATAAACTGCATGATGGTGCAGCTATGACTAATGAGGTAACTGGGTTGTCTCTCCCTTTTGTTACCTTTTTTCTTAAATTCACTGACTAAACATAGGCAAAGGTTCTCATAAATTTGGACTTATGGTGGGACAATAAATGAAAGTTGCTTTCCTTAAGTACCAATTAGTTGCCGTAATAAGGCATTCAAGAGTGAAAAATCCGTAGTTTATTTCATTATATGAGACCCGCGAAAAACATTCCTCTATAAGAAAGAAAAAGATAATCCCCTCATTTTTTTTGTTCGTGGTTCTACAGGATAGTCAGCCTTCCAAACTGGTGTTACCCAGAAATGATTTGATAATGGAGGGTGTAGAGAATAATAGTAAAGTTAGTGATGTATCAATGGTAGAACATAAGGTGGAGCGAGAAGAGGGTGAATTATCTCCCACCGAAAGTTTTGAGCAAGACAATTTTGAGGCTTATGGAGAAAATGGCCTCGAGCCTGTGCAGAAACTGCCAGACAATGTAGTAAGTGATAAAGACGGAGAACACCAAGAGGGAGCATGTTGTACTGAAGCTGGAGCAAAGAGCAATGCACCACTTGAAGATGATGGAAATAAAGATAGTCGAAAGTTATCAGAAGCGGATGAAAATGTCTCTAAAGTTATTGCCTCAGAAAGAAAGTTTGGTGGCCAAGTTTCTTCCGATGAAGAGCACAAAGGAACCATAAACTGTGATCAGCGTGATAGTCTAGCTGAGAGTGAAAACGAGGCTGAAGATGGATCCTTTATCACATTTTCAAAACGGTATCTGCAGCCTGTAAAGCCCCTTGCAAAGCATGTGCCTGGGACACTGCAAGTTAGTGAGAGCGACTCCCGGAATGATTCTCGAGTTTTCTATGGGAATGATTCATTTTATGTGCTTTTTAGACTTCATCAAGTAAGGACTACAAGACAAGCTTCTCAGGTTCTTCAATGTCAATTGTCTTCAGTTCAAACCGCTAATTCTGCTGATTTTCCAGATGTTGTACGAGAGAATACAATCAGCAAAGATACATTCAGAGAGGAAATGGAAAGCTCCAGATAACACATCTACTGATTCTTATACCAGGTGGTTTATTCGCTAAGGTGGTATTGGTAGTTTTAAATTGAAACAATATTGTCTTCCTTACTGATATTGTGAAGCATAGGTTCATGGATGCCCTGTATAATTTACTTGATGGCTCAAGCGATAATACAAAGTTTGAAGATGAATGCCGAGCTATTATTGGAGCACAATCATATGTTCTCTTCACATTGGACAAGCTAGTTCAGAAGTTTGTTAAGCATGTAAGCTTCCATTTTATCTGCAACTTGTTCTTGTCTTGACTCTGCTTCTGTTTTCCTTCCTTTTTTTTTGTTCTGCACTTATCATTGAAGTTGCTTGGACATGCTTCAGCTTCATGCAGTTGCAGCTGATGACACAGACACCAAGCTTCTGCAACTATATGCATACGAGAACTACAGAAAACCGGGAAGATTCTTTGATATTGTTTACCATGAGAATGCCAGAGCCCTTCTCCATGATCAGAACATATACCGGATTGAATATGTATGCTCCTCTTGATTTTTGCGGAAGCCTGTGTATATGGTCTCACACACTAATTTGTCCTTGCAAATCTGTATGCAGTCATCTGCCCAAACCCGTCTCTCGATTCAACTTATGAACAACGGGAACGATCAGCCTGAAGTTACAGCTGTGACAGTGGAACCAGGTTTTGCAAATTATCTGCAGAATGACTTTCTTTCGTTGGTTCCTGATGAAGAGAGGCCCGGACTATTTCTGAAGAGGTAAATGAAGCAGTGTGATAAGAGCTTACCTTTTACGTCTTCAGATGTGCAAGTGCAGTTAGTAATCATCTTACCATACTCTCTCAGGAACAAAGCAAAATTAAGCGGTCCAGATGAATCTTCAGGGGTATCCCGTGCTATGCAAGGATTAAAAATAATTAACGAGGTCGAATGTAAGATGGCTTGCAGTTCTTCCAAGGTAAATACTGTCTTGTGAGTCAATCGCGTTAATAATATTTTTCTGTTTTCAATGTGTACACGATTAATGAGAGATATTCGAATTGTTATTAGGTCAAGTATGAACAATACACAGCAGATCTTTTGTATAGAAGCAAGCAGAAGAAACAAAAGCTGAATCCAAATGGACTTGACAATGCTAAAACTTCTGGTAGCAGTGAAATCTCGAGAAAGAGAAGAATATCGCGTTTTCACGCAAGTCTCAACCGCAGACTTGTTGCTTTGCCTTAATAAGACAGCTTCAAGCACGTAAGTAACCCTCTTCATGCTTAATCACCGCAGATTAGTAGGTTTCGTCGTCAGTGTTGCAAATCCTCAATAATTTTCGATAAAAAGTAAATATAGATTAGGTTTGTATATTGTGCAGGTGTGAAGTTCTTGGGTGAGATATGCAAGCAAGCATGAGTAATGGTAGGGACTAGAGACCAACTGGTTTTGACAAGATTATTGCATCATTTGGCTCAAAGAGAGATTCATTCCTAAATTGCGTCTGGAGCCGCCAGTTTTGGTGTATAGTGTTAGAT